AAAAAAAAAAAAAGTGATGGGCCAACAAGATAGCTCAGCAGTCTAAAGCACCTGCTTAGGCCCCATCCTCAGGGTGGGCTGAGCCAGGAAAAAAAAAAAAAAAAAGTGATATAGCTCAGTGTAAAGGCCCTGGGCTCAATACAAAAGAAAAAAAAAAATTGCAGGTGATCATGTTGAGAACAGACAAGGCAGAAAGTGCCTGCTCTGTGGAGCGCTGTGTGAAGGCTATGTGGGGGCATGTGGCAGTGGTGCTAGTGGCTGTCTGAGCAAAATCTGACACTTTCTCCCACAGCAGGACAGATTGTGGGGACGTCCCATGCACAGTGGGCAGATCTGCAAAGCAGAAAGATTGGTCTCTCATCAAGTTCCAAGGAAGAGAGATCACAATGAAAAATTTGGTGGCGCATGTGGGTTTTTTTGTTTTTGCTTTTTTTTCTGTTTTTGTTTTGTACTGGATATTGAGCACAGGGCCTTTGCACTGAGCCACATCCCTAGCCAGCCTTTTTTTTTTTTTCAACTTTAAGCTATTTAACTGAGGGACCAGGGAGATGGCTCAGTAGAATAAGTGCTTGCCTGGCAAGCGCAGGGACCTGAGTTCAATCCCTGGTTCCACCAAAAAAAGGAAAAATTGTACTTGCCAGGTAGGCACTGTGCCTGAGCTATATCCCTGGCCCTGACACAGGCAGTTGGGGAAAATGAAAATCTGCTCTAAATTTCCCTCCTTTCTCTCTCTTTCTTCTTTCCTTTTTTTTGCTCCGAATGCCCTCAGGGCAGGTTTGGCTGGCTTGAGTTGTGGGGATCGAACCACAGCCACCTGAGCCTGACAGCTCCGGGGAAGCAGCTACTTAAAGAACTGAGCTATGGCCAGGCCCCCCTTCTTTCCTTTTTTTGATACTAGGAATCAAACTCAGGACCTCATGCTTGCCACATGATGTGCTCTGAGCTACATCCCCGGCCCCTATTTAATACTTGTTTCTGAGGCACCACATACCTGTTGAACACCACAGGATGTTTTTTTTCACTTTTAAGTTGGACCTAGAAAACTTAGCCATCAGTTAATTAGGGGCTGAATGGCAGAGCTACATCTCTAGCTTATGTCATGAACTCACAGGGACAGGTTCCAACAATTCAGGCTCCTCCCCATTGGTTCTCACAAAGTGCACTTTTCTGGGTGGGCCAGGCTGACACTTCAGTTGAACTCAGGTACTTTTTCTCTTTGGCTTTTTTTTTTTTTTGCAGAACCGGGGATTGAATTTAGGCCCTTGCCTAAATTTTTTTTTATATTGAGTGCTTGCCAGGCAAGCACTTATTCTACTGAGCCATCTCCCTGGCCCTCCATGGCTTCTTTTTCTGATCATCTTTCTTGACAAGTTTCAAGCTATCTTTTGCCTGGCAAGCGGAGGGTCCCGAGTTCAATCCCCAGTACCAGAAAAAAAAAAAAAGCTATCTCGACTCTTTTGAGTGCTTAATATGCTCAATATGCACATTAATCCTCTTGTAAGAGCCCTTGCTTGTTCACGGCAGTACCAACAGCATGCTGGGTAATTGTGGACACTTCCTGTTCTGCCAGGGCAACATTTGTGTGGTATCCCTCTTGCACAGTACCCATTCCCTTGATGTCTACAATATTGCCTTTTTGACTAATTCTCATGTATGTGGCCAAAGGAACAACCTATGTTTTTTTTTTTTTTTTTTAACCCATGTTTTCTAAAAGGCCTAGAGAACACATACTGGGCCCTTTTCCTTTGTCATTTTGGAAAATTACTGGAAAATGGCAGTTCCTTCTCCAGCCTTTTTTTATATTGAGAGGGATTTTTGCTAAGTCACTAAATTGCCCAGGCTGAATTTGTATTTGTAACCCTTGGACTATAACTATCTCAAAAGGGACTCTGCAATCTCTCAGGCATATAATTGTTGCACTTAAACTCTTTTTCCCAGAATTCCCATTTGCCTCCCAAAAGAATCTTTCTCCCACATTTTCTCCAGGCATGGTGGCACACAAAACTGTAACTCCCAACACACTTGGAGCTGAGGCAGGAGGGCTTTCTGCTGGAGCCCCAGGCGCCCCTGCCGGGCCATACTTTGCCAGATCCTAGTGCTGGCCCCAATTCCTGCCAGAACCCAGCCGACTGGTGTGATTCTTTTCAGACTACTGAGAAGTTTTCAAGTTTCCCTGTCTGCTTTTCTACAGCCAAAGACAATTAGCAGCCAAGGGAAATAAAACATCTTTCCTAGTTATTCAGGATTCCCGTGATCTGCAGGCCGAGTACTGTAAATGATGAAGCTGGACAGCACTTACGGACTAAGAAGCAAAGCAGGAGACCGGTGCTGCACAGATGCCCCTTGGGGTGGGAGGTGGCCAGAGTAAACCATCTCCCATGGCCCTGCTGACCATGGAGTGTCCCTGTGGCTCAGCCGAGGGACCCTGGCAGCAGCTAAAGACGCAGAGCTTGGAGTTCCCAGGAGGGCTGCAACTGCGTCTCAACACTGAAGCCTTGAGCCAGGGTCAGCTCCAGAACCACCCGTGCAGGTACAGGGGCCTGGCCCTGCTCGTCACCGCTCCCAAACCACTCAGCGCTACCTCTGCTCGAGGCTCAGCCTTTCCGAGGTGCCCCTAGGCACCCCAGGAGGGCCGCACAGATGTGGCCCAGCAACCTTCCTTCCCAAGATCTCACGAGGTAGGCTACACTCTTCTTGCCAAGAGGTTTCCCAATCCTGGCAGATGCTTGGGAGTTCAGCATAGGACCCTGCATCTGAGGCCTGTGCACCTGCAGGCCCTGAAGAGCAAAGCACAACCACCACAACTGTGTCCCAAGCGTCCTGAGAAGGCAGAACTGTGTTTATTCAACCACATAAAATGCATATAGGAAGCTTTTCTTCAGGAGCTGGTGGCCAGCACTCAGCATGGCACAGATAAAAATATACGACTTTCAACACAGACCTACATACCCTCACACATTGTAAAAATCAGAATTCTCCACACAAGTTTTAAACTGGCAGAATTCAGCTCTGAGTTTTCATATATAGCTTTCACTTGTATTAAACACGTTTATTTATGTGTGGCTAGAGAATAAGGGGCTATTAAGGCCGTTTTCTCATTGCAAAACACTGCAAAATATTTACATGAGTACAACCTAATATAGGCAAAGGTTCTAAAAATCATCTTTCTCGACTGAACGTAATTGAGTATGGAAGAGAAGGGGACAGCTTGTCCTTAGCACCAAACCACACCAACAGAAGGGCGGGTCTTTGCTTTCCCGTCCAGTTGCCTGAGGGGCTGAAGCTGCTCCACACCCCAAGCTGGCCCAAAGGGCACTTTACTGTTCCCTCAATTCCATTTCCAAATTGGCCTCAAGGTCCAGAGTCAAAAAATCATTTCTGCAAAGACTCAAGGCAGCCAAGGCTCCTGGAGCTAAGGTGCTCTGGGGAAGGGTCAATGACAGCCCCTAGACACCCTCAGGAAGGGCCTGAGGCCAGCAGTTTCTGAAGTCCCCTTCATCGCCGGTGCCGGCTATGCCCAGGGTGGTCCCGTTCATAGCGGTGACCACTGTGCTCATAGGACCTTGAGCGCTCCCGCTGATCTCTGTAGTAATGGCTTTTCTTCTTATATTTTACAGAATGATCCACCCGCTCCCGTGACCGACTTCGAGAACGAGATGAGCTGCGGCTCCGAGACTTGTGTGGCTTCTGTGTGGGGTACTTGCAGTCTTTGGGCTTCCGAGAGCCCCTCACCTCAGAGCCTTTGTAGGGAGCTCCTCGGTGCGCCAGTCTTGGCGGCGAGTCACTCCGGCTCCGCGAGCGGCTCTGTGACTTGGACCCACCAGATGTTGAGCCGCTGTCACTTTTCCTGTGAGGAAGGACAGCACACCTGGGACCACAGGTGCGACCACCTGTCTCAGTTAGGGCCTGGCACCCTCAAGACTGAGAGGCACAAAAAACAAGAACCCCACTCAGGGTAAGAGCCAGTGTGCCTTGGGAGAAACGCCCATCCTGCCAGCCCACATCCCCAGGTGAGTCCCCCACACACACCTCCTTTTGGGCGACGTGGACCTTGATGGGGACCTCGAGCAGCTCTGCTCCCGGCTCTGACTCTCACCCTCACGCACCTTTGGCAAACTGCAAAAGGAGAGGGTGGTCAGACCTGGAGCTCTGGCCCCTGCCCCACCCCCGCAGCTCCAGGTGTCCCACCCGTTCACAGGGCTGTCGGCCTTGGCTTTCTTTGAGCCCTCTGCTCTCCTCTTGGCACTCTTCACAGACATTGGGGAAGGCTTGTTTCCTTTGCCTCCTTTGGGAGACTCTGCAAAGTACATGAAGTTCAAAACCAACAAGCAGAAAATCGTTCACTTAGAAACACATCAGGAGGGGCCGGGGAGATAGCTCAGTGGAATAAGCGCTTCCCTGGCAAGCTCAAGGACCTGAGTTCAATCCCCGGTTCCACCAAAAAAAAAAAAAACACATCAGGAGATAAGGCCTCTCTGAGGTTGATGGGGACACATGTTGATCCCAACTTCCAGCCCGACCCAGAGCTCGCAGGCAGGCACCACAGGCCTGGAGAGGTCCCTTTACTAGGGTGTTTTCTTTCAGGCTTCTTGGTGTCGGAGTGAGCCCCAGCCTAAAACCTTCCTGAAAGTACCCAAGATTTTACAACTTTTACTGAACACAAAAACTTTTCAGAAGGCCCACCCTTACTTACACTTGGTTAATGAAAACGTAAAAACAATCTTTAGGGGCTGGTGAGATGGCTCAGTGGTCTAAAGCACCTACTTAGAACAAGCTTAGCAAAGCACAGGGCCCGCGGTTCAATCCACCAGCTGGACACACACACACGCACACGTAAATAAAAAAACCAATCTTTAGGGGCCCTGGCTCATTCCAAAGATAACCTGTGGCCTGTCAGGTGGGTGCCCAGGCTCTGGGGTGGGACCCCACTCACCTGGCCTGGGGGCAGGGGAGAAGCCTGCGCTGCTATCTGGTACGGGCACCCCAGGCAGCAGGCCCCGGGCCTGGGCCTTGGCCTCCTCCAGGGCATGCTTTCTCTTCTCCACCTCGCTCTCCAGGTACAGGAGGTCCACCTAAGGGGCCAGAACCCGGCAATTCAGAAGCAGAAGCTTCTTGCTGAACGCAGATGCATGAAAACACACAGAAGAACCTTTTTCCGAATAAGTGTTTGCCTGACAAGCACAGGGTCCTGAGTTCAATCCCTGGTTCCACAAAAAAAAAAAAAAAAAGAAAGAAAGAAAGAAAGAAAGAGAAAGAAAGAAAAAGAACCTTTTTCCGTGTATAAAGCTGCAGGATTTTTAAGCAGATTTCTTGAATTTCTTCTTCAGTTGCTCCAAACAGAAGAAACCAATGGGGACGATTAGGCAAAGGGATCTGTGAACGCAAAAGCATGGGAGTTACACAGCTCTTGACAACCTCAAGGCCACACGGCTCAGAGCTCCGAAAAGAGCCTGCTGTCCCCCCGCAGGGCCAGCAGGGCTGCAGCCCACTGACCTCCAGGGTGCGGGCGGCGAGGTAGATGCAGGCGCAGGCAATGCTCTCGGGCTGGAACCGCACAAACACATCTGTGCGGAGGCTGTCATTCATGTAGTTCCTAGAACCAAGCACATGGGAAACTGCAGTGTCCAGGCAGCCGTGTGCCACCATGTCCCCTAGGGCCACTGCTACTCTAACATGTTCTACCGCTAGGGCTGAGCACTAGCAGTACTAGGAAGCCCAGGAGGTAAGGAGATTCTAGCTGCGTTTTCTGAACATAAGAAAGAGAAATCACTGGGGGAAGAATGGGGACAAAACTGGCTGAATGTCAGATAATAACGTGTTGCTATGAACGAGAACCAACTTTAACTTTACTTTTCCCTCGACTTTTAGCTTGCCATCATGCAAAGCACAATGCCTCCAAAAGAAAATGCTACTTAGTGGTTAAAATGTACTTGGTTAAAGAAATCTAAATGCTCAAAATCCAGAGTGCAGAGAAACATGCAAACTCAAATAAACGGGCTGAGTGGGAAGGCTTGCGGCCAAGACAAGCTGTCCTCCCGTGATCCTCTTCTGTGTAGCACTTGTGGCCTGGTCCTTCTCCAGATGCCTGGGCCACAGCTTCTGCTAGGGAGTCCACTTGGAAAGGGACAGGCCCCTGGGTGCAGTTCGGGTGCAAGGGACCGTCACGCGGAAGGCCAGTGCCCAAGGAGTCAGTCAGGAGTCCTCTTCTCAGGCTAATCAAAGAACATTCCAAACTGTCCCATTTCAACAAGGAGTCTTAAAATGAACATCCATAAAATCAGAAGCAACAAGACACTAGAAGTTGCATCACATAAGTACATTTATAAACTTTATCATATTTTAGAAGACAAGTACAAAACTGCAGTTGTAAAAACATTACATTAAAACACTTTCCTTGAGATATATTTCTCTAAGATATATAAGCTAAACCTAGGCCTCTTACTAGATTTGTAAACATTGTAAAAACAAGTAATTCTGTTAGAAAACAACCGGAGAAGTTATATACTCACTCACTGCCCAACCACCCAAACAATGGCATCCCATCCCCTAGAATCGGAGTGTAGTTACCCCAACCCTGGAGAAGGTCACACTCAAACACACTCAGACATTCTAAATAATAAATTCTACAGGTGTCCGAGAGGCAGCTGGCTCTGCAAGCCAGTGTGGTGGCAGTACAGTGACTTATCCCAGAAGTGACTTTGCAGATGAACAGCTCAAACATTGATAATACAGCCATCAGTAACTTTGTGTTTCTAATACGAATATTCAGTACTCAAAAAATGATACTAATCCATTAAATTCTATAGACAAATGAAATCTTCAGAACATATACTTAAACTTATTGCTCTATTTAAAATAAATTACAATGTATTCAAAAGTATCCAAAGAGTAATTTAAAGATGCACACCTTTCCTGGGACGAGTCCCACACTTAGCTGCTGAGAAGAGCAACTACAGGACTCCAACAAATAATGAAAGAATCTTGTACTGATGGCTTCAATTCCCATCAGCCAACTTTTCACCTCCGTTCTTACAGTTTTCCATAGAACTTTTAGAGAAAGGTATTGCATCTTTATGATACAAATACAGCAATTTAGGGACAAAATTCAAGTCAAGACAGTTATCAACTCTAATTGATACAATTACCAAAGCACGACAGGATTAACAAGAAGCACAATCGTCAAAGAACCACAAGCAGCAGTCGGCCATGACTATACTATCGTACGCATACCACCAGTCTAGAGCCAGCCTTCGGTGGAGAGCCTGCACTGGATTGGCTGAAGACGGCCGCTGTCCCTGCACCAAAGCGCTTGGACAGCAGAGGAGAAGTCTTAGTCACTTACCCTCAGAGGCTACCCTTTGATTGAAAGAGTACAGAAAAGAAAAGTCAAAACAGGTTCTCGAAAGAGTCATAGCACCAGACAATTCAGTCAGCAATACGACCACTAAAGACTTATCTCTGTGGGGAAAAGGGGACAGCACACCCTAGACACAAAACTGTCGTTCTGGGCTTCTTTCCAGTATGGGCCTGTTACAATCAGCCCGGAACCACAGCAAACTTCATGTACTTTTCCCCACAGGATGAAGTCCCCTGGATATACAGAACACCTCCCCCAGCCTGAGACCTGTGACTTCCCTGCGGTCAGCTGACAGCCCAAAGGGAAGCCCACTCACTGCTCTCAAGGTGCACACAGGAAACCCAGGGAGAGGGGTGGGCCACCTACCGTCACACCAGTGCCTGTCACTTTGGGAGGCTGCTAGGCATTTACACAGCAGATCACTGGGCACTGGGACAACTCCAGCCCACAACCAAGTCATGGGACCAACTACCCACTGCCCAAGTGCCTCAAGTACCACATTCCTGCACTGCCCTCGCTGGACTTGTGAAACAAAGAAGGTCAACTCACCATGCAGTCTGGACCAGGTGTTGGTCACGCTCACACTCTAACACCTGAAGGTACATAACGATTATCTGGAAGATACGGGTCAGGCAGTTATTACCAAGAATCGGGAGAGCAGGAACTTAGGTCTGTGGGTGTCCACGCAGCAAAGAGCCTCACTCGAGCACCAGGTGGAGCTCCTGGTCATGTCCGGCAGGCAGCTCGGCTGGAGGGCAAGCCTTTGTAGGTGCACCTGCCCCTGGCTCTGAGGCTGTGGCACAGAAGGCCTTGCTCCTCCCAGGGCCTGCTCTTGTTCTTTTTTTGTGTTGTTTTGGGTTTTTTTGGCAGAACCGGGGATTGAACTCAGGCCCTTGCGCTTGCCAGAGAAGCGCTTATCCCACTGAGCCACCTCCCTGGCCCCGTGTTCTTGTTCTTGTCAGTGTCTTTCCACCATGAATGGCCTGCCCTAAGCACCACTATACCCAGCAGCAAGCTTGCTTTTAGCCAAAGCAAAAAACACTGAAATCTTCAGTGGATAATTTACCAAGAATTTGAATTAATTTCAGAAACTAAAACAAGCATTAGAGGGCCGGAAGCACTTGCTTAGGCAAGTGCAGAGACTGGAGTTTGATCCCTGGCACCACAGGCCATGCCTGCCCCAGCCCCAGGTACACTGAGCCAGCCAACAAGACTGGGCATGGTGGCACACCCCTGTAATCCTAGCACTGGGGAGGCTGAAAACAGGAGCTTTACTACAAGTCCAAGCTGCCTAGAGAGACCCTGCACCAAATACATAAAAATAAATAAAAACAAGCGCAAGAGAAGATATAAAGGAATCTCTCAAAAATGGGTTAGGACCAAAGATGTCAACAGTAATCTCTTTTCGAGCCAGGCCGGGGATATAGCTCAGGAAAATAAAGTGCCTGCCTGGCAAGCACAAGATCCCAAGTTTGATCCCCGGTACAAAAAAAAAAGTTTTGTAGAGCTGGGGATATAGCTCAGTGGCTCAGTGGCACTGCCAGCACCTGCCTGACGAGCGTAAGGTCTTGAGTTTGATTCCTGGTACCAAAAACAAACAAACCACCAAACAACCAGTGTTCTGGCTGAGAATGGTGGTGCACGCCTGTAATTCTAGCACTTTTTTTTTTTTAATTGGCAGAACCGAGGATTGAGCTCAGGCCCTTGTGCTTGCCAGGCAAGCGCTTATTCTACTGAGCCACCTCTCCAGCCCCCTCTAGCACTCTTAAAGAGGCTGAGCCAGGAAGATCTTAAGTTCAGGCCCAAGCTGGGCAATTTAGCAAGATCCTGTTTCAAGAATAAACCTGCAGGGGCTGGTGAGATGGCTCAGTGGTCTAAAGCACCTACTTACAACAAGCTTAGCAAACACAGGGACCGCGGTTCAATCCCCCAGCACCACATGCCAGCCAGCCCCGCCCCCTGGTGGGCTGAGCTGGCCACACACACACACACACACAAATAAATAATAAATTTTTTTTTAAAAAAGAATAAACCTGCAGCTATAGCTCCATGAGAAGCTCTAGGTTCAATCTCCAGTATCGCCCCTCCAAAAAAGGTAAGTAAGGTTATTACTAAAGTCAGAAAATCATGGGGGCTGGGGAGATGGCTCAGTGGAATAAGCGCTTCCCTGGCAAGCGCAAGGACCTGAGTTCAATCCCTGGTTCTGCTAAAAAAAATAAATAAATAAAAATAAAGTCAGAAAATCAGCTGTTCAGAAAATGTACACTAACAGCTTCAATTTCTCTAAGTTCACTGCTATTTGAAAGCCCAAGTCTGAAAGATCCTATTTCCTAAACTGTTTTCTTAAGAGTAACACGAATTAAGTAAAAGAAGAAAAAAAAAAAAAAAAAACAATCAGCTGGAGCTACATCCCCAGCTTTATTTTGAACTCAAGGTCACACTAAGTTGGCTAAGAGGGTCTTCAGCTGTGAGCCTCTCAGCTCAGAGCTAGGATTACAAGATCTCAGCACCACAACCAGCCATTTCTAAAACTCTTCTTAACAAATGCTCTTGCTTGGGTGCCGTGGTTCACATGGTGGTCTTAAGTGACTCAGGATACTGAGGCAGAGTTGGAAGTTGGAGGTAAACCTGGGAAAAGTGAGACCCCATATTAAAATAGAAATAAAAAGTCTGGGGGAGTAGCTCAGTGGTAGAGAACTCCTGGGTTCAATTCCCAGTCTGGAGGAAAATAAACTGACGGTACAGTAGGCTAATGGAGAAGCCTTCCTCTGAAGGAATGCCCAGGCAGGATGTGCTCAGGCTCGCGCGGGACCTCTAGACACACGCACGCTGAGAGCTGCTGCTGTTGCACTGGAGGGATGGTGCGCCCCGGCCGTCAGCTCAAACCCACCTTGTGAGGGTGCTTTACGTGGACACAGAAGCCTAGCTCCTTCAGAACACGTCTTTCCGCCTTAATGATCTGGTTTTTTAAATTAACGTAGTCCTGGTCCAGCAGCAGAGGAACAGGCTTTCTGTAGGACAACGACACGACACGGTCTGCTGGAGGGTGGAGCGCTGCAGGGTTTTTCAGTTTCACTCTCACTCCTTGGGGTAAAAGCCTAATCTCGGGGCCGGGGAGATGGCTCAGTGGAATAAGTGCTTCCCTGGCAAGCGCAAGGACCTGAGTTCAATCCCCAGTTCCACCAAAAAAAAAAAAAAAAAGAAAAGAAAAAAGCCTAATCTCAGCACAACACAGAAAAACTACAAGGCCCAATCTGGCAAAACCACCAGAGTCCTCTCGCTCCCACGGCAACCTCTCTGTAGCCCAGCCCATGTCCATCTAGACAACCAGCACTCTGCATCCGACAAAAGTTGGGAGGATGGGGGCCGGGGAGATGGCTCAGTAGAATAAGCGCTTCCCTGGCAAGCGCAAGGGTCTGAGTTCAATCCCTGGTTCCACAAAAAAAAAAAAAAAAAAAAAAAAAACCCAAAAAAACCAAAAACCCCCCCAAAAAAGTTGGGAGGATGAAGGCTCAGGCTCTTGCTGCCCCAGGGCTAAGTGCATTTTAACTCAAGAAAGAAGATCAGGGCCGGGGAGATGGCTCAGTAGAAAACGTGCTTGCCTGGCAAGCGCAGGGTTCTGAATTCAGTCCCCAGTACTAGGGGGGAAAAAAAAAAAAAAAGGAAAGAAAGAAAAGAGATCAATCTTCCCTTTCAGTGGAAAACTAGAGAAACAGAACAACATAACACAGCTCTTCCTATCAGCTGGGAACTGGTCCAAGTCACCACAATACCAAAACTCAAAGACACTTAAGTCCTTTATACGGAACACTGTAGTATTCACACAGCACCTACAGACTTCAAATCATCCCTAGGTGACTTACAACACAGAAAACCATTTAAGTAGTCGCTGCACTGTGTTGCCCAAGGGACAATGACAAGGAGCAAAAGCAGTGTACATTCTGTACAAATGCAGTATTTCCTCCCAACATTTTCAGTCTGAGGTTGCTGAACCTAAGAATGTGGGAGCTGCCACTAAAAAGAGCCAGCATCATTTAAAAGAGATGGGGGCTCCCTTTCCTCCCTTTCTTTTTCTTGCAGTACTGGGGCTAGAAGCCAGAGCCTCGCGCAAGCAGTGTACCAGTGAGCTATGGTCCTGCTACCCAAACGGGGCATTCTTAGGGGCAGCACTGGAGAAGTTTCTGGCTGTTACAACCGAGGAAGGCCAGGGATGCTCAAGGTCCCACAGCCCACGGGACGATTTCAGTGAAAACATGCCAGGTTAGATGTCGACAGTGCTCACGCTGAGTATACCTAGGAGCGCTGAGCCCTTGAGGAAAGTGAACCCCAGTGGGCAAGCAGGGCCATTCCAGGACTGGAGCTGCCCGCTGCCCAGTTGAGTGAGCCCCCACGTGCACACAGGAACATACTAAGGGTCCACAAGGTTAAAACCTCCTGCTCTGAGGTTGGTAACAGAAACATTAGGCAATGACAGATGCCATGATAGCTCCAATGCAGTCTTACTTTTTCTCTCTCAGATGTCGAAGGCGATGAAATACATTGATGACATCCCGGATTCTTCTTGGAGCTTCTTCAATTTTGGAGGCCAAGTGCACACAAGCCATGGACACATGCTACAATGTAAACATTGTGCCCGATGTGTTCCCACCCTGAGGGCCTCCTGAGGCTTAAGGGCATCTGGGAGCAAAGAGGAGGTGGAAAGGCAAAAGCCTCCACGCAAGGGAAGCGCATGGGGGGGCAGAGCGGGCCAGGACTCCGCCATCAGAGGCCCCTAGCATTAGTCAAGCGGGGCGTGGGGGCCCTACCTCCATGGAATGCTTCACGAAGGACTTGGTGTAAAAGAACCGCTGGAACAGCACCTGCCCCGTAGCCATGGCCACCTAGACACCCAGAAGTTTTCATCATTTTTGAGCACTCCCTCAAGCCCAAGGACAACATAGCCCCGCCTTTCGGAGGTTCCCCAACATTTCTGCGCCTCGGGGCCTTCAGGGCTCCGCTTATGGCCGGGATGGGGGAGGGGTGGGCACAGGGTCAGGGTCAGATCGGGGCAGGTCGGGCCCCGGCCCCACTGGCAGCCGTTCCCCCGAGGCTCGTGGCCGTCCTCACCTGCGGCAGGCGCAGAAGGATTCCGGCCGCCTGGATGAGTTCGCAGCCCACCACGCGAAGACCAGTCTCGGTGTCAGTGTCCAGGCCGCTCGACATGGACGGTGTGAAGCGCAGTTTGTCGTCGGGCAGCAGGCAGTTCTCCAGGGTGATGAGCACTCCTGAGTACAGCTTGTCCCCGATCAGCACCCCCTGCGACCCGGGCGCGGCTCCCCCCGAGCCGGGGGCGCCGGCCGCCGCGGTGGGCGCTGCTGGGCCGGGAGCTCCCGCCGCCGCCGCCGCCGCCGCCGTCGTCGCCATTTTGTGCCGCCGCCGCCGCCTTCGGGGCCCTTTCTCGGCAGGGCGGCTCCTCGCGACGTCCGTGCCCCCCAGCGTGTTCCATTGGCTGGATCCGACCGACGCCTCCTTGCTATTGGCCGGACGGCGCGCGCACCGGAGTTGCGTCAAGCGCTGTCGCCGGAATCCGGCGCGGAAGGGGCCAGCCTGTTACCCAAGCGTCTCTGCGGCCGGGCCGGACCCGGAAGTGTGTCCGCTCCCGGCGACTGGGGCGCCGGCGTCGGGCCCAGGACCGTGCCTGGCCTGAGGAGGTGCCGACCAGCGCGGGGTGGCCAGTCCGTAACCGTGGTGGCCGCAGCTCACGACGCAGCCGGGCGCCCAGACCCACGCTGCTGGCAGCGTCGCCCCTAGGGAACTGCGCAGCCGCGAAGGAGTGCACGAGGGTCTGGGGACGCCAGACTCGACGGCCTTGCCCGGCGCCAGTCGGCCGGCGGAAGCCTAGGGAGGCCCCTGGGGAAACAGGCGTGAGCCCACACTTCGGTGAAAGGGCGTGACAGACCCCACCGGCGCATTGTCCGACCCCTCCCTGTCTGGGCCGCCGCAGGCGACCCAGCGTCTGTGGTTCAGCCTTCGCCGTTGCGTCGGGACGGATGTATTCGTCACCTGTCGCTGTGGGACTCCGCGGGAGGGAGGCAGGAAGCCTCGCGAGATGCTGCTAGGGTAGCTTAGGAGGAGCTGGAGGGTAGATGTGCCCCGGTTTGACAGGTCAGACTCTGCGCTCCTTGTAGCCGTGCAGCTCGTTTCACAATCCCAGTGCAGTGGGAGGTCGAGGCAGGAAGACTACAGGTTTGAATCCAAGACCGAGTGTGGTGGTGCACGCCTGTAATCCCAGCATTGGGCCGGAGACATGGCTCAGTGGAACAAGCACTTCCTGGCAAGCGCAAGGCCCTCCTGAATTCAATCCCCGGTTCCGCAAAAAAAAAAAAAAAAAAAAAAAAATTGTAATCCTAGCATTCGGGAAGCTGAGGCAGGATTGCTACCAGTTCTAAGCCAGCCAGGGCTGCACGGCTAGACTTAAGTTTTGGGGCCGGGGCGATGGCTCAGTAAAACAAGTGCTTCTCTGGCAAGTGCAAGGATCTGATTTCAATCCCCGGTTCCACCAAAAAAAAAAAAAAAAATCAGTGGCATAAGCGCCTGACGGGCAAGCCCAAGGTTTCCAGTTCGATCCCCGGTACCGGAAAAAACGTTTGCGCCAAGGTTGGACAATTTACCGAAACTGTCTCAAAATTAAAACAGTAATAGGCCGGGCATGGTGACGCATGCCTGCAGGTGATCCTCACGCATTTGTGACAGGGTCAGACTGAACTACATCAGGGAGGCCCTATCTCAAAATGAAAAGAACCACCCAAAGCCAGCAGAACTGACTTCCTGGCCCCACAACTGCAGCACTGCCAACTAGGACGAGTCTTTCTTTTTCATACCTGCAATGGCCAACGTGGTTGCAGTTCACCAGTTCCTTCTAGCTGTAAGTTGGCAGTGCCAGGGTGCTCCCCTCGCCCCGTGTTGGCTGTACATGCCACTAAAGGAGAAACTGCCTTTCCTCCAGAAACCCATATGCATCTCGTTTCTCCTTGTGACTGGATTCGGCTGTGGGCAAGCTTGGCGTTTCTAGCCAGCCAGGCTAGCCTAAGATCACACCTGAGCACACACTGGTGTGACGGGAGGTGGGCTAAAGTAGGGCTGCTGGTGCGACCCGGTGTTTTGTCCCCCTTTGGTGGGAGGTGTAGAGAAGGCACTGAGCCACGCCCCTGAAGGGCTGTGACTCTGCCCTGGGTCTGTCTAGTAGCCACTCCTTGGGCACTTGTAAGCCCAGCCAGGGTGCACACTCATGCAACAGCAGGGACGGCCAAGACAGCTCCTGGCCTCATGTTGCAGTGGGCATTTTTAGGTTGGTAACAAAGCCAGAAGAGCCACAAGGAATCTGCAGTAGCACTGGTGGCAATGAGGGTGGCGGAAAGGGCCGATCTCTAGGAGGTAGGTGACCACAGCTTGGTCAGTTCTGTATGAGTGGAGCCGAGTGTGGATTCCACGGAGGAGGAAAGTGACTCCCAGCACCTGCTGGCACAGGATGAGGGAGGCGTGCCACAGGAAATGTGGCTGCGACTGCAAAGGGGCTGCTTGGGCCCTGGAGCAGGGGTGGCCTCCACGATCAGCAGGGTGAGCACTGTGGTTGCCTGAACCAGTGAGATCACCAGCAAGCACAGAGCCAGCTGTTTGGAGCAGAGCCCGGGCTGGGGGCGGGATACCAAAGATCCCTTTGGTCCCCGGGATGGTAATAGCTCCTGGGGGCCATGGTGGGACCCACTGCACACTAAACGGTCGGGGAAAGCAGTGGAGACAGCTGGAGGACAGAGGGAAGGACATGGAGATGAGGGGCTCAAATAGCAATGTCCAAGGCTCTGGGTGGGAGCAGGTTCCTGAGAGAACACAGGCCTGGCCCTACGCAGGCGTGGGGAGGCACTGTCCAGGGACAGTGGGCAGGGACAGGTCTGCACGACAGGCTAGCAGAGCTGCTGTAAAGGGGTCTCCACTGGAAAGCTTGTCAGGAACGTATTCCTGAGCCTTAACAGCCCCATCTAATAAAGCCCTGGAGACGGGCTAGGAGCATCAGTCCCACCTGTGGGGCCGTCGCTCTGAGCCCTCCTAGTCGGGAAGCATGCGAAGACAGCAAGGCAGCAGGTGGTGTGCAGCTGCCAGAGGAGCCACGCGAAGGTGGTGGGATGTGGAATGATCAGGGAGCTAGGCTGGAGGCGGCGGTCAGACTTAGTGGTCAGTTTGCAGGACCAGCACACTCAGTTGCACTCAATAGCCAGGACTCTTGTCCCAGCAGCCTCTACTGCTGTGCCACAGAGCTGCTGCTGCTGGGCACAAAGGCACCTCAGAGGCAAGTTACATCCCAGTGTTTCCACGATCCCAGAAAACACAATGCAAACACTGCAAAAGCTTTATGTGCACAATCTATGTGAGACAATTCTGAGACTCAGTGTCCACTGGGAAAAGACAAGGCCTTTTTTCTTGGGCCTGGTACTGAAGTATAAATAAAGTTACAACCCAGGGTTATGAGCTGTTGAGTAGACAGCGCATTGTTCCTGTCTTAGTGATTAGATCCATCAGGAAGAAACGTGTTCCTGACCCACAGCATCGCTGCCCTCAGTGGTACTGCACCACCCTGGAAAACACGCCTTCAGGTTCCTTCCCATCCCCCAAGGCAGCTGCAAATCCTTCTTGTCGCCTCCGTTGGGCCAAAGCAGCCAGAGACTTAAAAGTCTTTGGTTCGTAGATGGCCAAGTCTGCAAGTACTTTCCTGTTGAGCTCCACCTGGCACTAACAAGAGACAGAACCAGAGCCACAGTCAGCATCAGCACATACTTGGGCAACACATCACAAGATCCCAAAAGGGACTAGCCTGTGGGAACAGTGTAGCTTGGAGACCTATAGGGGTGAGTCGTCCTCCAGCACCAGCACTCTGGCTCCAGCTGGCTCCAGGGCAAAGCCTGTCCGCATAACAGCTCAGGACAAGACAGCAGCAGAAGCCTGCTTAGCAGAGCAGAACGCTACAGGGCAAACGTGAACCAGGATGAGCAAGGGAACCTGTGCATAGGACATGGGAAGGGAGGCACATTCAAGCTCCACAGCCTGCCCATGGAGCAGAGGAGCTTGTTTAGGGTCGGTGGTCAGCTCCTGGACCACTAGAACCCCTGGGCCAGCAGTATCAGCCAGCTTGGAAGTTCCCAGAGTGTGGTGGGTCACTTAATGGAGACTGCAGGCCTGGGTGTAACTTGGTAGTAGGTGGGTTTTGTAAAGGCCCTGAGTTTGATCCCCAGCACTGAGAAAACTCCAGGTGGTTAAAAAAGCTAATGTAGTCAGTGGGCCTAAGTCGCAGAAGGGGGATGGGCAGCGTCCACACATAACACACAGCTGCCAAGCACCTGCTGGACCTGACCTGTGTGCCTCGGGCAGTGTCCATCTGCCTTCTAAGCCTTGGGTCCTGGACTGTAAGACCAACTGAGTCAGTCTGTGTGTGTCTCTCTCCCTCTGCAGTGCATCACACAGGAGAGCTATGAGGCAGAATCAGAATACCTAGCCCCTGAACTTTTTAAAGGAAAAATACAAATGTACGTGAGAGCAGGGTGGAGCATTAACTTCCAGATTCAAAGAATGCACAGATTATACACTTCTTGCTTAATCTATTCCTTCCATCCAGGATACTTCCCCTTTCTGATTGTATGTTTGACGCCATAGCTCAGTTCTTTAAGTGGCTGCTTCAACAAAGCTGTCAGGCTCAGGTTGCTGTGGTTAGATCCCCACAACTCAAGCCAGCCAAACCTGCCCTGAGGGCATTCGGAGCAAAAAAAAAAAAAAAAATCCTCCTGATTATGTTTGAACTTTATCTGTTACATCATCAAAAAACTTCCACTGTCAAAACTGTACAGTGAAAGTCCATCTTCTACTCTTCCTTAATGGGGAAACATTGGGCTTCACATCACAGTAGAAAAAGCCCTATTTCTACCATGCTGTGCTGTCAGCAGGGCAGGGAGGAAGCAAGTGTGAGCCCCCAGCCTAACAGATTCATCCAGGAACACACAGCAGTACATGCAGACCGGGCAGGTCGCTCACCCTGAGAACAGCTCCTGCACCTCTACAGGGACTTAGCCATACCTTGATTAAATTGGTAATAAATGACGAGTACTTCAGACCATGCTCCTGGGAGGCAGCTGTGATGCGATTAATCCAAAGCTGGAAGAAGAAAACACTGAGCTGCATTAACAGCACCTGGACCGTAAGCCTGTACTGACCTTCCAATAACCTGCTGCAACTATTTACCAGTCAGTAGAGAAGGTAGTGTTTTCCTCTCTAGCAAACAGACTTTCAGCACAAACAGCAAGCAAAGATTTACGCACTTCACTGAAACACGTTGCACTTTATTTAAGGCTTTTTCTTTCCTTCTTTTTCTTTTCCTTTTTTTCGGTCTTTTTGAGATAGGGTCTCACTATACAGTTCAAGTCTACTCTGTAACCCAGGCTGGTGCTGAACCCACAACGATCCCCCAGTCTCAACCTACCGCGTGCTGGGATTATAAACTTGTGCCACCACGCCCAGCTACTTGAAGCCTTTTTGAGACAAGATGTCACTATGCAGGCCCTGCCTGACCTCGATCTACCGAGGCTTCTCCAGACTCTGCCTCCCGGGTAACCGGGATCGCCAGCCGGCCCAGTGGACCCTGAGAGCCCCTAGGAGGCGCAGGCTTGTCGAGCTCGAGCTCCCGCTCCCGCTCGGCACCAGCACTCGCCACGCCGGGCGGCCTCCCCAGCAGCACGGCCGGAACAGGAGGGATTCACCCCTGAAACCTGCAGACCGCGACACGGCACCCGGGGCTACTGCCAGCGAGGCCCGTCGGCCTTGCGGGCTTTCCGCCAACGCTTGCAAGTTGCCACTGGCACGGATCCGCCACTGCGGATCTCAACAGAGACCGGGAGAGCTTCGGCTACCGACAGAAGGCCGAGAGCGGCGCGCAGGCCTGGGTGCTGGGATGGGGGGGGGGGCCCCCGGGGCGCTGGGGGGGCGGGGCGCTGGGGTGGGAGGGGGGTTGGAGGGGGGCGCGCGGGCCGGGGCGCTGGGGTGGGAGGGGGTTTGGAGGGGGGCGCGCGGGCCGGGGCGCTGGGGGGGCGGGCGCGCTTACGGTCCTCAGCGTCCGCTTCTTCAGCCTGCGCGCCCTGGTGCACTTCACGAAGGCCCTGGTGACGGCCCTGACGGCCAGCCGGTAGCAGCGGTTCTTCCTCCCCCGAAAGTGCTGGACCGACGAACGGGAAACGCCGGGTCAGGGACGCCGCGGCCGACGCCCCGGCCCGCAGGGCACCTGACCCGCGGCGCGCTCACTCACCCGCGCGTGCTTCAGCACCTCCTGGATCCGAAAGTAGCGGTCGGTGACGCGGTTCCGCAGCCAAAGTCGGGTCGTGAGGAAGACCATGGCGAAGCGCTCCCGCGGCGCCGGCCCAGAGCGCTTCCGGGTCAGCCGGGCCGAACACTTCCGGGCGCGTGCGTACGCCGGTACCTTCCGGGGCGCCTCGGGGGCTCAGCCTCAGGGTTCCGCGGCTCTCTCGGTCCGCCTACCGTGAGGGCCGGCCGGGTCGGCCAGGCGGGCGCCGCAGCTGGGCAGGGAAGCTGTGGCGAGGACGCGGCCGGCGCGGGAGGCCCCGAAGAGAGACAAGGGGGGCGGGCGGGAAGGCATTTACTAGCGAGGGAGACGGGGGACTCCAGTCTCAAGAGGACAAGAACAGGCCGGCGTAGTGGCACAAGTCTGGAATTCTGGAAAGTCCGATCGTTGCGAGTTCGCTCCAAAGCAAGCATAAGCCCAGCCTAAACTGCATGGCGAGGCTGTGTCTCAGAAAGACAACAAAACAAAGACCTAGGAGTCTCGAAAGTCTCTTTTAGGGGCTGGTGAGATGGCTCAGTGGTCTAAAGCACCTACTTAGAACAAGCTAAGCTAAAGCACAGGGACCGCGGTTCGATCCCCCAGCGCCACATGCCAGCCAGCCGCGCCCCCTGGTGGGCTGAGCGGGCCACACACACACTAAATAAATATTTTTTTTAAAAAAAAAGTCTTTTATTATTAAAATAAGGATGTAGCAATCATGCCATCCAAGGTTCAAGAAACTATACATAGTGTTATGGGTCGCTCAGGACAGGAACCTCGTCAGCCAGATTGCGATTTGGAAAGCCGCTGGTTACCGCGCTCAGCCCGGTCTGACCACATTCAGTTTGGTAAACAAATTCATTGTCCGACACAAAATAATGCTTTCAGAGTGATTGGGACCACAACTCAAACTACATTTCTGGGGCTTTTGTTTCAGTTTCTGGTTAATTTGCACCTGAGTACCTGCAGGCAGCCTTGCATAGCACGGGGTTACAAGACGTTAAAGCCCAATTTGTTTCCTTTACAAGTCATCTCTGAAAGCTAACTTTGCTGACAGGACTTGGTGGAGGTTACAGGAATTTTACCTTAGCCAACAGCAAGAAACAGCCTCTAGTTACTAAACAACTTAGAAAGTGAGTATACATTCATAACAGAACGCACAAGATTTACATTTATAGTCTAAAATGTGACTTGACCCATTGCAGTGGTTATTCCTTATTATTTACAGTTTCTTTCTTCTTTTTTTTTCGGTGGAACCGGGGATTGAACTCAGGCCCTTGAGCTTGCCAGGGAAGCGCTTATTCCACTGAGTCATCCCCCGGCCTATTGTAATGAATCAACTCACATTTTACATTATAAATGTAAATCTTGTGTTTTCTGTTGTGTAAAAATGTATACTTGGGGCTGGTGAGATGGCTCAGTGATCTAAAGCACCTACTTAGAACAAGCATAACAAAGCACAAGGACCACAGTTCAATCCCCAGCACCACATGCCAGCCAGCCCCGCCCCCTGGTGGGCTGAGCTGGCCACACACACACACATAAATAAATAAATTTTTTAAAAAAATGTATACTTACCACTGTTCTAAGTTATTTAGTAACTAGTGGCTGTTTCTTGCTGTTTGCTAGATAAAATTCCTGTAACCCTCACCAATTCCTGTCAGCAAAGTTAGCTTACAGAGATAAGTTAAAGGAAACTAAATGGGCTTTAAGAGGCCTGGGAAATGGCACAGTGGAATAAGCACTTCCCTGGCAAATGCAAGGGCCTGAGTTCAATCCCCGGTTCCACCAAAAAAAAA